TCCTCTTTAATGGGGCAGCCGGGGAAAATGGCGTTCGATCGTCTGGCGTGCTTCACCGTTTTTTCACGAATTATTCAGGCCACCTGGCTCTGATTAGATGTTCAAGGTGTTTCTTCGCCTCTCTTTCTATCTGTTTTCGGTGATGGAATTTAATGCTTCGGCCGTTGCCAAATGTGCGGCACAAAGTGAATCACGGTACGCTTAGGTATATATCGATATTGTTACGAAATCGCGTGTTCGTTGCTCGAAATACTTAGATTCGACTCTGTTGTAACGGCTAACAAGTTGTTCAAACGAAGATCTTGAGCGTGCAACGCGATTGCCCAACGCTTGTCTCGTACTTAACTTTTCTCAACTTGAAATATCCTATCTACTATCTACTTTTCTTTTTTTACTCTTCCAAACAAGAGAATCGGAGAAAACGCACTCTGTACATCCGTACAGAAACGAGGAAAGTTACTGTCAAAGAAGAATTGTAAAAATTCCTGTTTTCGACCCAACCGCCGCCGGCGATCTCGAAGCGTTAACACTATGCGCGGATCCTCGTTTCCGGAATCGAGCGCGGCAAAAACCTGGTCGATCAACGGCGATCGACTCATCCTTGGCTCGCGTAGGCGAGACAATGCGTCCGCGCACGATAATGGTAAAACGTACGAGAGGCGTTTCGGCGCGTTTCGAACGGATCGGGCGGGAGATGCCAAAAATCGTCCACATCGGTTGACTGACTCATCGTGGCCGTGTACGAGAGTATTCGAAAGCGCGCGGTGCTAGTCATCCCGGGTATTTGGAGATGCTGGGTGGCTCAGGTGGTTGCGTGGCGGCCCGAAATAGAGGTGGTCGCCCGCGCAAAACCGCGTCGAGTCGGGCCGCGAATAGTGCGCGCCCACCGCCTTCACGCGGTAATTTTAGAACGTTTTGTTTTCGTGCCAGAATGCCGTGGCGACCGGCACGCCGCACGCACACGCGACCGCGTGCTGCCTCTTGCGCGCCTCCGCGAGCGAGAGATTACGTTCCGCGCGTCCGCTTCGTCGCTTAGCGCCGAGATCGATGCACGCGCTACGCCCACGCCATGCAACGATCCTGGAGGAAGTCGCCGAGATTCCGTGGGCTTCTTTCGTTTCGAGAAACGTTTCGTCGATCTGTCGTTGTTCGGCGCGAGAGGATCGGAAAGGATCTTCACTTCGTTGGGAAAGAACGGATGATTTCTTTTTTTTTTTGTTTTCTTCGTTTTGTTTCTTTCACCAGGCCAGATTCGAGAGTTGGAAGAGTCGATTGGTGGAGACTCGTGGAATTTTGATAATCGTGAGGTTCATAATCGTAAGGTGCAATATGGGGAGGGGAGAATTGGAAGATGGAAGGAGAGGAGGAGAGAAGTGAATTTCTGTATTCTGGCAGGTAACTAGCGCGCGAAACGATCTTCTTGGCTCGAGTATATTCAGTTGGATAAGCGATTTGGGTTTCGGCTCGGACGAAAATTCGAAAACGCGGACAGTAGCAAATCGACGGTCAACGCAACGAGTTAAACGCGCTCGAGCGGCTTTTGATAAAGTTATATATGGCACTGACTCATTATAATATCGTGCAACCTGTCTCCGCGACTGTCTCAAGCATCGATATGGAACGCGAATATGTTTCGAGAAAATGTATCTCGCGATAATGTCAGCGTGGTCGTTTCACCGCGCGATAAAATCGACAACACTCGTCGAACAACACCGTGAATAATTTCGACAAATTTCGAATCGAAATTGGGGAAAGGAATGGAGAGTTAAAAGGGACGGGAGGGCTCTCGAATCTATCCGGTTACGAGTACCGAGATTTTATCTTGAAAGTCGGTGGCAGCTCGGCGAGTGAACTCGCGATGCCCGATAAATGCTCTTCCGTCGTG